TTGGGCGGCTTGACCTCGGTCCCGATCTGCCGGGCGGCGACCTCTCGGCGGTGCTTCTTCATGGTCTTACTCGTGCCATCGAAGACGGGCACGGGGATCTTGCCCCCGTTGCTCTTGTCCTCGCCGCTGGCTGCAGCGGCTCCTCCTGCCGTCGCCATGGTGGCGACCTCGAACGAGAGGTACAGTCGCAATCCAAATCACGAGCCTGTAGTGCTTGCTCAATGACTCTGCGAAGTCGCGCACGTAGCTGCCGTGGTCGAGTTAGCTCCGCTACCAATGCAGACCCGATACTGCGATGAAGGGTATGAGTGCGATGATAGCCGCGAGGTTGTCGTTGTCAGCGATGACGAAAATATATCAGCAATATATCAGCAATGGTAGGCGGTGGTATGTTGCTTAGCGGCACCTGCAGAGGTGTCTACCGATACGCCCAAGCTCAAGGGCCCTCAAAGGATTGAGCCCAAATAGTTACGAAAGGGCATGTTACCTTCCGTCTGAATATTACACATATGCTACACTGCTTACAGATCAGCACTGACACTATTTATTTCACAGTAGTAGTAGTAGTAGTAGTAGTAGTAGTAAAAGTAGTGGTGTGAGTCGCAGTAGGGGTAGTAGTAGTAGTAGTAGTAGTAGTAGTAGTAGTAGTAGCAGTAGTGGTAGTAGTAGTGGCAGTCGTAGCTATAGTCGCAGTAGAAATGGTTTCACTAGTAGCCGCACCAGTAATACGAGTACTGGCGTGAGTACCGGTACTGGTAGTAGTAGTAGTAGTAGTAGTAGTAGTAGTAGTAGTAGTAGTAGTAGTAGCAATAGTAGGTCGACTAATCATACTATTCGTAGTCGTAGTAATACAAGTAGCACAAATAGTAGTAGTAGTCGTCGTAGTAGTCGTGGTAGTAGTCGTAGCGGTAGTGCAAGGAGTAGTAGCAGTAGTAGCGGTAGTGGTAGTCATAGAAATACAAATAATAATGATGACGTTATAAATAGTCGGTGGCGGTCGTAGTAGTAGTAGTAGCAGAAGTAGTAGTAGTAGTAGTAGTAGTAGTAGTAGTAGTAGTAGTAGTAGTAGTAGTAGTAGTAGTAGTAGTAGTAGTAGTAGTAGTAGTAGTAGTAGTAGTAGTCGTAGTAGTAGTAGTAGTAGTAGTAGTAGTAGTAGTAGTAGTAGTAGTAGTAGTAGTAGTAGTAGTAGTAGTAGTAGTAGTAGTAGTAGTAGTAAAAGTAGTAAAAGTAGTAGTAGCAGTAGTAATAGTAGTACAAATAATAGTGGTAATAATAGTAGTAGGCCTCAGGTCTGAGTGAGGTAGTATGAGTCGGAGTACTCATAATAGTAGGGGGTACTAGTAGTAGTCGCGGCGTCGCCGTAGTAGCAGTAGTAGTGGCCGTCGTCGTGATAGTAAATGTAAGGGTTTCAGACATAGCAGTCCGCCTCCGTGCCAGCACGGAGTGGGCGATCTTTACAGGGCCGGGCCGTCCCTTCCCCTACTCGTAAGCGTGCCTGACCCCACCCCCCCCCCGAGTTTGCTCTCCGGCGCTCTTTTCGGCCAGACGGCCAAGATGGCCTTCAAGATAAAGATGACACTTAGACAACCCAAGATGGGCCCAAGACGGCTCAGGAGGCTCCCGAAACGGCCTCAAAACAGCTCAAGAGGCTCCTCCCAATACGGCCCAAAAAGGCCCCAAGGGCCCCCGAGGAGAGCACGAGAAGGCAAACAACATCGATTGTCTTACGATGTTTTTGCGGATTTTGAGGTCCTCGCCTGTTGCGGTTTCCGACCGCCCAGGACGGTTCAAGAGGCCTCCAATATAGCTCTAGGACAGCCCAAGAGGTTCCAAAGAGGGACTCATGTCGGGCGAAGAGGACCCCAAGATCGCTCAAGAAATGTACAAGAGGACCCCAGTACCCCAGGACCCCAGGACTGCACCAAAAAGTTCCAAGATGGCACAAAGACAGCCTAGAGAGCCCCCCAAGACGACCTCCGAAGGCGTCAGACGGGGCACGGGCTCCCTAAGACGGCCCACGAGGCCTCAAAAGGGGCCACTCAGGACGCTCCCAGGAAGGCCCCCCGGAGACTCCACGAGGGCCCCAAGAGGTCTCCTCCTCCTCCTCATTCACAGTATCCTCCCTCTCCATTTTGCCTCCGCAGGTCGCGCCGCGGGCGCAAGCCAGTAGTGTCGAGCCGCACCTCCCTCTCCTTCTTTCCCTCCCCCTCGTCCTGCTCGTCCTCCTCCTTCTCCTGATTCGCCTCCTCCTCCTCCTCCTCGCCCTGATCGTCCTCCTCCTCCTCCTCCTCCTCCTCCGGAATACCGCGCGGACAGAAGCGATGTCGGAATCACTGCCCTCCCTAATTCAGACTACTCGCTGAACTGCCACGGAGCGTGAAGTCGAGCTCATTCCTGCAGCGCGAACCAAGACGAGGTCGTGTTCACGACCCGTCCCATTTCAGACCGCTCGTCGAAATCGCACTGTTCCTACACACAGCCTCCGTCCTGCTGCGCTGTTGCACAGGCACGTTGCTGCGCTGCCGCAGGCAACTGGATATCACCAGGACTACGAATACTTCACCGACGACGACGACGACGACGACTACTACTACTGCGACTGCTTCCACAACTACTACGATTATTAATACTACTACTAGTACTACTACTACTACTACTACTACTACTACTACTACTACTACTACTACTACTACTACTACTACTACTACTACTACTACTACTACTACTACTACTACTACTACTACTACTACTACTACTACTACTACTACTACTACTACTACTACTACTACTACTACTACTACTACTACTACTACTGCTACTACTACTACTACTACTACTACTACTACTACTACTACTACTACTACTACTACTACTACTACTACTACTACTACTACTACTACTACTACTACTACTACTACTACTACTACTACTACTACTACTACTACTACTACTACTACTACTACTACTACTACTACTACTACTACTACTACTACTACTACTACTACTACTACTACTACTACTACTACTACTACTACTACTACTTCTACAAATACTACGACTACCACCACCACCACTACAACTACGACTACTGCTGCGACTACTAATCCTGCAACTGCTACTGCTACTACTACTACTACTACTACTACTACTACTACTACTACTACTACTACTACGACTACTACTACTACTACTACTACAACTACTACTACTGCTACATCTACGGCTACTGCTACGACGGATCTCACTACGAATAAGAATAATTGAAATAAGGGTAATGATCACACGATGAAGAAAATGCCTGGCGAAGGACCCAACTATACGCAGTTGTGAATACCGCAATTGTGAATGCCATCTTCGCCCGCGCTCCCTATGTGGCCACGGCTTCCCGCCAGAGCCCGACATGCTCAGGGACACGTTCGTTGCCGTCTTCGCGGGCGCCGACGACGACGAGGACGCCGTCCCCCTGACCGAGGAGCAGAAGCAGGAAAGGGCTCTGAGAGCAATGAGGGAGACTGCCACTGGCGCCTTCGGTGGAGCTCCCTATGGGGCCACGATCCTCGTGAGGGGTGTGCCGAAAGGGCCCGAGGCCGCCATGCGAACCCTGCCACTGGCGCCTTCGGTGGAGCTCCCCATGGGGCCACGATCCTCGTGAGAGGCGTGCCGAAATGGCCCGAGGCCGCCATGCGAACTTTCCCTCTGGGGCCTTTGGTGGAGCTCCCTATGGGGCCACGATCCTCGTGAGAGGCGTGCCGAAATGGCCCGAGGCCGCCATGCAACCTTTCTTTATGGGGCCGTTGGTGAAGCTCCCTATGGGGCCACGATCCTCGTGAGTGGCGTGCCGAACTGGCCCGAGGCCGCCATGCAACCTTTCCTTCTGGGGCCTTAGGTGGAGCTCCCTACGGGGCCACGAAGCGTGTGAGGGGTGTGCCGAAATGGTCCGAGGCCGCCATGCAACCTTTCCCTCTGGGGCCGTAGGTGGAGCTCCCTATGGGGCCACGAAACGTGTCAGGGGTGTGCCGAAATGGGTGCGGTGCGGGGGAGGAGGGAGGAGAGGGAGAAGGAGTGAGTGAGTGAGACGCGGGGCGCTGTCTGTTCAAAACGAGGACCCAGCACCACAGGATGGTTGGGAAAAAAACAAGAAAGAGTTATGATTGAATGCACCCCGTACTTTGGACCACCTATATTGTTCTGCATGCATTGCTCCGCATAGGCTGCATCGCATATATTGCAACATAGATTCTAGATGCTGCAATCCATGGGTTGTACCGTACACAGACTCTGTTTGAGGTCCATCTGGGAAACATTTCCTCGTATGTGTACCATTGTGCAACAATTACACGGATGGAGGATGGAGGACGGTTCCTTTTCGAAAGGGGACTTCCTCTTGAATGGAAGGTCCATGGAGATCTCGTCTTTCAAGGGAGAGCTCCGAAGTGAAAAGGGATGCTTACAGGGACTTCTGATGAGGGGACCTGGGAAGGGAGACTGTACTGAAGCATAGGGTCTACTCTTATGAAGCAGTCAGCACGGTCGGATCGGATCGGACCAGGCATCGAATCGGGCCGCATCGTACAAGAGTCAGAATCCAACCGGATCGGCCGCGCCAGGATGCACAAATAGCAACAGCGCCACGCAAGCACCGGGACGCATCGGATCGCCAGTACATCGGAGTCGAATCGGATCCGGCGGACCCTAATCGGTATCGAACCGGACCGATCGGATCGAGATGGACTCTTCCTTTTCTGTACTCTGGCCCTCCTCCTCCTGCCCCTGCCCCCTGCGAGGCAACGTCAGGAGGAGACCGGCTCAGGAGGGACACATCGACCCGGCATTGGCGATACATCGCTGAAAGATGGGCGATAGGCCCTCGATAGCGCGACCGCAGGGCCCTGGGCGGGGTAGGCTACCGGGCCCTTTTCGGCGATCACTGGGCGATCAGGGTCGATGCACCCCCCCTGAGCAGATCCCCCCCCACCTTGCCCCAGGCCCGAGCGCCCCTCAATGCAGAGCCGCTCGCGCCGGGCGTTCACCCGGTTCAGCAGAGACAGCGCCGCAGCCGTGTTCGCCGTCTGCCCCCTGCTGGACAGCACCTCGGGGGCCAGGAGGGCTGGGCCGAGGGCGGAGGAAGCAGGGAGGGAGGGTCGGAACGGCTCGGCGGGAGGGAACGTCGAGAACCAGAGGGCAGTCTGGGCCCTCTCGATGAGGGGCCACAAGGTTGGAGCAGATGCTCAAAGGACAGCTTTACTGGTACTTGTATGCCGCCCTGCCCGGCGGCGAAAAAAACACCGCGGCAGGGGGGGGAGGGGAGGGCCTGCAGGGAGGAGTCTATTGTCTTGGCTGCTGTAAACTATAACGCGTCACAGGCCGAAGGACGAAAGGAGACGAGGAGGCCCAGAACCCACCGCCGGTGGCGGTCCCCAGAAAGAAGCAGAAGGCAAACGCCAGCCTCGGCGCTCGCCACTCGAACCTGTCGAGACGAGCTGAATCCAGCAACGAGACCTGGCGCCTACCCTCCACACCGCGCCCCGCACGCCTGCTTTGCCACCAACGCCGCCCGCCAAGCCACCCCGTGAAGGGCAGGCGAAGGACTGTCAAAACCGCTGCCAGGAACGGCCGTCAGAACACTCACGAATCTGGCTCTCGGCCCAGATTGCCCTACATACGGCCCCTGCATACGGCCACAAGCAGGCCCACTGGCTGGATTTGTGTGGAGGCCTGAGCAAAAGAGCTCCCAGCGCCCGATTCCCAGGCCAGTCTCCGCGCCAACTGATGAATATCCCCCATCTCCAGCAAAAGCTGGTGGTGGCCAGTCCTCTGAGCCAGAAATGAGGTCTGGCATGGAACGTGCTGCAGTCTGCCAATCACCTCCATGCCCGGGAAGGTGGCCTGGCAGTTGAGCGTCTCGTCTACGACGAGCTCGGTGCCAGCTCGCCTACGTCATCGGAGCCCCGAGAATTGCTCGGGCCGTCGGATCAAAAGGAGCCCAACAGGTACCATCCATCGGAGGACTGCATCAGGGAGCTGGCCCTGCGCGATATCCTCTGCTTCTGCCGCTGCGTCCTTTTCTCGGAGGGGGGGAGGAGGAATAGGATGCTCCCTTTTTCCAGCTCAGGCAGGCCAGGTGGCGAGGCTTCGAGACGCTGCAGGCGCAAGAGGCTGCCGCCAGGGGATCTCCGATCCGCAGGCGGCCACGGACATCAACTGAAATTTCGGACACATCTCCAGAGACAGAGGGAAAGCAAGGGGGGGAGGGAGGGAGCTTGAGCGAAACGTCAACGGAAGATCGCAGACGGGCGGCCAGCAACGCTTCCCAAGGAGCAACCCTGTTCGGAGAACGACTTATGCTCCCTTTTTCCAGCTCAGGCAGGCCAGGTGGCGAGGCTTCGAGACGCTGCAGGCGCAAGAGGCTGCCGCCAGGGGATCTCCGATCCGCAGGCGGCCACGGACATCAACTGAAATTTCGGACACATCCAAAATGCTGCAAAATGCACAGCTAAACTGGCTACGCCGAGAATGCAACAATTGTCAATCAAGAGTCGGAAGACGCACGAGCAGCACGGCCAATCAGAGCGGAGAACTGCCCAGCCCGGGACCTGGCCTTCTCGTCCGCGTATGCTCTGGCGAGGATGTTGCAGAGCTTTCGAGGATATGCTTCCGCCAACTTGGTGCGGAACCTGCCCGACGCGTCTTTCCCGGACAGCTCCTGATGCCTCTGCCCAGTGAGGACACAGACGGGCCCCACACACCTGAAATTGGCCAAGGGCGCCAAATCGAGGAGAAACGCAGCGATCTTGGTGCTCTTCCTCCAGGGCGTCCCGAACCGGCAGTACTCGATCACCTGGGTCGTGACCTGCCGGCGCTGGAGCAGGGACAGCATTGGCGGCAGCTGCCACGCGTAGCTCAGCGCGGGGTTCTCGAGGGACCAGGGGGCGAAACACTGGCAGCACAGCACGCAGAAGGCTATCGTGAGCCGCGCGTACAAGTTGCCCCACTTCACTTTCTGGAAGTCGGCGCCTCCGACGGGGAGACTGGGCAGGCCCCAGACGTGCTCCTGGGACCGGAGCCGCGGGGGGCCGTTGGGGCGGTCACGTGCCCGCGAGAAGGTCTCGCAGGGAAAGCCAGCATGCAGGCCGCAGACGAGCCCCGCCCGTATCCAGCCCCGGATGAGGCGGGCGCTCCTGGGGTCGCGCAGGTCGTAGGCGGGGCCGTACAGGAGGTCCCACCGCAAGGTGGGGACATTTCCCCGCTCCACGGCGTCGGACAGGTGGCCCGAGCCCGCGAACAGCTCGAGGAACACGGCGATGGTCGGCGCCCTCAGCGGCCCAAAGATGGCATCCGCCTCCCCCGCAGCACGTCGGGGAGCTCCCGAGCGGCCGCCGCGGCCGCCCGCTGCACGTCGGGCGGCAGGCGGCGCAGGAGGTCGGCCAGTCGCCCCCCGCGCTCGTAGCGGCGGAGGCTCCGAGCGGACCGCCACCGCCCGCGGCGCTGGATCTCCTCCAGCCGCCGGGCGCCGGTCGCGAAGTCGACGCTCGCCCCCGCGTGCCGGAAGCGGTAGGCGTCGAGCGGCCCGAGGGGCCCCAGGCGCCAGGCTGCCGCGGCCTCGTCCAGGGCCCGGCGCAGGGCGCTGGGCGACAGATCCAGCAAGGGCCCCTCGCCGCGCTCCAGCCCCAGCTGCACCAGGGCGTCCGCGAGCGCCGCCTGCCGGTCGAGGTCGAGGACGATCGTCTGGTCGAACTCCTGGCTCTTGGACGGGGTCCGCATCTCGAACGGGTGGAGCAGGACCGACGTGGGGGTCCACTCGCGGGCTCCGCTGAGGGCCCCCGCCACCACGTCGCGGCCCCGTAGCAGGAATGGCTCTCCTGGGCGCAAGTACAGCTCCATCATCATGAGGATCGCCAGCGCGTGGGGTCTCAGCCCCTGGCAGATCATCCAGCACGCCAGCAGCGCCACCACGTCGTAGGGCAGGGGCAGGCGGCCCCCCGCTGGGGCAGCACGCCGCCAGCCTCGCAGGCACTGCCGACAGATGGGCATCCGCCCGCCCCCCAGCCTGCCGAGGCGGGGCTCGGCCCACTGCGCCGACGCCAGGAGCTTCTCGCCCGCGCTCAACGAGCCGCCCTCCATGAACATGATCTCCATCAAGCCCGCGGTGGCGGTGTCCCACTCCTCCTCGGTGATCGGGTGGTCCCCGCGGGAGTTGCAGAACCTGTGCAGGGCGGCCAGGTAGAGAGAGTACTGGGCCTGCGTCTTCGCCGACACCGAGGCCCTCCGAAGCAAACTCATCTGGGCCTCTGGGGCCCGCGCCGCAGCAAGCATGGCAGCGCGCTCCGCCCGCACCCGCGCCGCTGCCGCCCGCAGGCCCCCAGTCTCCAGGGGGGCCAAGGCCGGGCGGGAGGCCGACCCCGAGCTGGGCGGCGGCGGCTGGCGGCCCGCGGGGGTCCTCGACCTGTCGGACCTGCCGCGCGCCAGCATCGCGGCCCTCGTCGGCGGCGGCCGCGAGCTCGCGCCGCAGGCCGGCAAGCGGGTCGCTCGGCGCCGGGCGGCCGCGCGAGGGCCCGTCCGCAGGGTTGAGCTCCGACGCGATCCAGCGCGACCGCAGGAGGCTGCCGGCCCCCAACAGCAGGGCGCCCAGTCGGCGGGTCACCGAGAGCATGCCATCGGAGGAGGACCGCCCCTTCGTGGCGGCCAGGGAGGCGGAGATCGAGTCCCCAATCACGAGCAGCCTCGAGCCCAAGTTGGCGACGGACCTCAGGAGGTGGCGAACCCCGTACAAAAGCGCCTCCGCTTCCAGGGCCGGCATAGACGTCGAGGGCCGTTTCCACCTCTGCCTCCCGCACACCCTCCAGGGGGCCCTCAAGAGGTCCAAGGGGACGTCCTCGAACGGCTTCCGGTGCCGGCGGTCGAACTCGCTGTCGGGTCGGTCGTGTCGAGACTGGGGCCGCACGAGCTCCATCAGGATCCGCCTGTCGGCCTCCCCCTCACCTCCGTGCAGCTGCGCAGCGGCCGCGGCGAAAGCGCGCCCACGGGGTGGCCGCACCTCCCGGGCCGCCTCCCGAGCCCCAGCACGCTCCGAGTGACGGCAGGCCTCCTTGACCAGGGCCACCGGCGGTCGTCCCCGAACGGCCCCGAGGCCCCACGGCGACGCGTCCACCACGACGACGTCCGGACAGGTACCCGCAAAGGTGTTGACCCAGATGAGCGGGGCGATACGGTCCCAGATGTCGAGCTCCTTTCGTGCTGAGGCCCAGAGGGCCCGAGGCCCCCGGGCTGGGCATCTCCGCGCGGCCCCGCAGAACCTGTAGCAATATTTGAAGACGCTGAGCGACTCTCGCCTACACAGGCCGCTGAAGCACAGATGGCCCAGGAGGCGCTCCAAGTCCCCTCCAGAGACCGAGGCCCGCGCCAAAAGACCCCGAATGGCGAGACGAGCCTTCCAGACACGCTCGGGGGTCGGGCGGAAGGTGCGCCGAAGGCAATCGATTTCCCACCCCAGCACGACGGCCCGATCGCATGAGACAGACTCTTTATGCAGCGGCAGCCCGCGAGACTCGAGGGCCCGAGACACTCCTGCCAAGCGCTCGCGGACAACCGCTTCGCTCGTCGAAATCACAACATAGTTATCAACGTACTGCGCGTGAGGGGAGGAGGCGAAGGGAGGCGGAGGGGAGCCGTCCGCGAGCCGGGCTGCAGCAGGGGATCCTCCCTCCTCGGCCGCCCGCTCGTGGATCGCCTGGCACCACCAGAGGGCCCAGGACCAGCCCATGGGCAGGGCTCGCATCCGAGGGGTGACCCAGGTCCCCGGGGACACCCGGACTCCCTGGACATGAGAGATGCCCGCCCACGAGGCCCGAATTTTACGCAGCCCGAAAAACTGGCGGAGCCCCTCCGGGAGCTCCATGTGATAGAAAGCGTCTTTTATATCGACCTGGCCGATAAACACGGGCTGACCGAAGGATTCGTCGCCATGCACCTGGGCGAGGGTATCGCCAGAGACTAAGCTGACAGGGGCGGGCGGCTCGAAATGCTGATTAGACCGCCGACAGTCGACGACCAGCCGCTGCTTGCCGCCCCCCTTCTTTACAAAGAAGCAATC